TAATGTTAACTTATTTAAAACAGTTTTTATATTTTAAATAAAATATAAATGTTTCCAAAATAAATTATATTTTGTGAAATCTATAATAATAAATACATTAATATTATGTCTGAAATTCATGAAAAGGATTCTTTGGACCGATTCGGTGATGATTTATGTGAAGTAATATTGAGTTATCTATCACTCGACGACCGGTGCCGTTATGAATGTGTGTCCAGACAGTGGCAGAGATTGATATTCAACACAACGACAACATTAGTGGTCAAAGAATCGCACATAAAATCATTGCATACATCAAGCGATACGTTTGAGACACTACTGAAAAAGTTGCCAAATATTCGTTGCATTGAATTCAAAAACAAAAGGTTTCCGTTCGTTGACATCATATTTGACATAATTATCCGAAACTGCAATCATTTAAACGCTATAATCATAGCTGAAAAGCGTAATAGCGTAAATCGCAAAAAATGCCAAACCCTTCATACAATTGATAAGTTTTTCGCAAAGTTTGGACAACACCTGAAAACTATTACATTTGCTTTAAGAGACAACGAGGAGCCAAGGAAATTGATTGACACTAATATCAAGTTATGCGACAATTTATTAACTCTTGACCTGTTGTCCGACTATAACAGTCGTGTGCATAAAACGTATAACAGATTCTCAAACATATTTATAGATAATAGTAAAGTATTTATGTTTGAAAAACTGCAAAAACTTCGCTTCATTTACAACAGTCAATGCGCTCATGATTTTCAATTATTTACTGAAGTTTATAAAAACAATTTAAAATACATTGGCGTGCAAATTATGCAAGATGACTTTACTATAACTAATAATACTGCTGATATGATACCTAAACTAATGGACAATTTGGCACAAATGCCTAAATTAATTCATTTGCAACTATATATGACTACATGCGACGACTCGTTGACCAGTTTCACAGCTAAACAATTCAAACAAAATTACCGCTATTTTCATAAACNGTCTTACAAATAGTGACACTAACTATTAATTGTTGATAATGTCTGAAATTCACAAAAAGGACTCTTTGGACCGATTCGGTGATGATTTATGTGAAGTCATATTGAGTTATCTGTCACAAGAAGACAGGTTTCGTTATGAATGTGTGTCCAGACAGTGGCAGAGATTGATATATACGACACCAACAAAATTATTAATTACAAGATCTATCATTAAAACAACTGTAAACTCAACCGATATGTTTGAGACACTACTGAAAAAGTTGTCAAATATTCGTTGCATTGAATTCAAAAACAAAAGGTTTCCATTCGTTAACATCATATTTGACACAATTATCCGAAACTGCAATCATTTAAACGCTATAATTATAGCCGAAAAGCGGACCTTAAATGTCGAGACTATTGATATGTTTTTCGCGAAGTTTGGACAACACTTGAAAACTATTACATTTGACTTACGAGGCAAACGAGAGCTCAACGAATTAATTGACAGTAATATCCAGAAGCTATGCAAAAATGTCTCAAACCTTGACATCTATTCAGACTATTATAACTACAATCGATTCTCTAATCTATTTATAGATAATAATAAAGTAGTTATGTTTGAAAAGTTACGAAAACTTCGCTTCATTTACAAAAGTGAATGCGCTCATGATTTCCAATTATTTGCTCAAAGTTATAAAAATCATATAAAATACATTGACGTACAATTTATGTTGCAAGATCACTTTATCACTGAGGAAGCAATCGCTATACTAATCGACAATTTGGCACAAATGACAGAATTAATAGATTTGAAAATATATTTTTATACCTATGATAACTCAATGACCAGTTTCATAGCCAAACAATTGAGACAAAATGCTCACAATTTTCGTAAACTAAAGTCACTGTCAGTATCCCTAAGAAAGATGTACCCAAACGTATTGCCAGACATATTGACAGCGATTACAGGTATAAAGCGATTGAAAATATGCGGCCGTTTTCACGAGGACTTTAAGCTAACGAGTCATACATTTAGTGAATGCCAACACTTAACACATCTGACACTTAATGTCAATTGTTATACACTTTATGATGACTTCTTCCATGATATTCACCTCAATATACCACACCTTCAATGCCTGGCACTGGAAACAGTTAACGGAATCATGACTGATGTGTCCATTGATTCATTGTCGCGATTAAGACATATTCAAAGCATTAGATTTCATGGAAATCATGGCTGCGATCACTTTGACACCAAATTGGCAGAAAATAAACTATACAATTGTTGTCCAAAATTATGGACAATAGCATTTTTTAATTTTACACATTTAGCTTAAAAATAACCTAATATTTCTTTTATTTAAGCTAGACAATTTATTACACGTTAAACTATTAGATAATATTATAATTATTTATAAATAGATTAGTCAGTATGATAACTGAAATAGATGCAAGCACACACATATCAAGATCAAAGATATTGCATGATACTGTATATAACGTTATAATTATGTTTTGTTTATTTCATTTTTTCTGTAATAACTAATAAGTATTGCACTATACTAATTAAATTTACTGTATAATAATGGATGATATAAAAGTTACAATCACATTTAATATATACAGTTAGTAATATTTTTAACTTATTTAATACAGTTTTATATTTCAAAATAAATGTTTCTAAAATAAATTATATTTTGTGAAATCTATAATAATAAATACATTAATATTATGTCTGAAGTTCATAAAAAGGATTCTTTGGACCGATTCGGTGATGATTTATGTGAAGTTATATTGAGTTATCTATCACTCGACGACCGGTGCCGATATGAATGTGTGTCCAGACAGTGGCAGAGATTGATATTCAACACAACGACAACATTAGTGGTCAAAGAATTGCACATAAAATCATTGCATATATCAAGCGATATGTTTGAGACGCTACTGAAAAAGTTGCCAAATATTCGTTGCATTGAATTCAAAAACAAAAAGTTTCCGTTCGTTGACATCATATTTGACATAATTATCCGAAACTGCAATCATTTAAACGCTATAATCATAGCTGAAAAGCGTAATAGCGTAAATCGCCAAAAATGCCAAATCGTTCACACAATTGATAAGTTTTTCGCAAAGTTTGGACAATACCTGAAAACTATTACCTTTGCTTTAAGAGACAACGAGGAGTCAAGGAAATTGATTGACACTAATATCAAGTTATGCGACCATTTATTAACCCTTGACCTGTTGTCCGACTATAACAGTCGTGTGCATCTTTGCATATTGTCTAAGAGTTTGTATAAATATCTATTATCATTTCATAAATACAAACTTTTTGACGTTTTTGAAGCGAAGTAAATGTTGTCAGTTACGCGAGTACTAAAAGTTAATAAATGACTTCATTATAAAAACCATTTAAAATACATTGGCGTGAAAATTATGCAAGATGACTTTACAATAACTAATAATACTGCTGATATGATAGCTATATTAATGGACAATTTGGCACTTTACGGATTTAATTAAGTAAACGTTGATATATACTGATGTACGCTGCTGAGCAACTGGTCAAAGTGTCGATTTGTTAAGTTTGTTTTAATGGCGATAAAAGTATTTGACTTCAGTGAAAGTCATAGCCTAAAGAAGATATCTCCAGACGTATTGCCGGACATATTGACAGCAATTAAAGGTATAAAGCGTTTGAAAATAAGCGGTCGTTTACACGAAGACATGGTAATAGCGAGCCATACATTCAGTAAATGCAAACATTTAACACATCTTACACTTGGTGTCGATGGATATGTAATTAGTGACCAATTTTTTCTCGATATTCACGAAAATATACCATACCTTCAATATCTACATCTAAATATACCATACCTTCAATATCTACATCTAAAAAGTGTTGACATAACTGATGATTCAATTGATTCATTGTCTCAATTAAGACAAATTCAAACAATTAGACTTCATGTCAATCATCCCATTGATAAAGATTATTTAAAATTAGCATCAACTAAGCTATACAAGCATTGTACAAAATTATGTAAAATTCAGTTTTAAATTTTACCTAGTCAATATTAACTTCAGTGTTTAACAAATAAATTAAATGCTAATCAATTCAAGTTGTTATAACTATCAATATAAAAATTATACATTTTCTTTTGAATACTCAAGAAATAATTTCAAATTCAGTAAAAGTAAGTTATTTATTTTGTTTAGATTTAAAACTTAATGTAGATAGTGTATATGAATTAAAAGTTGAGTCAAATTAATATTTAGTGCATAATATGAGATCAATATATTTAGTGCATATTATGTATCAATACTGAAGTGCATATTTAGTGTAGTTTTTGTGCTAGACCCAAATGCAATACAAATAAATGAAAACATGCACTTTAACAGACATTATGGCTATACACTGTAGTGCATATTTAGTGTCAATTTAGTGCCAGATCCTAATGCACTACCAATAAAATTAAAACTTGAACTAGATATTATAATAGTTCAGATAATAAGTGACAGATATTATAATAAATAAATTATCTAATGCTATAAAATTGATTAGATCATAACAAATATATACAGCATAATAAATGTTCACTAATTATAAAGCCATTCAAATATGATTATTTTCTAAACTTATTATTATGTTATAATGTTATAATTAAAATAAAAGTTTTAAAGTTAATTAATAGTTTCCTGATAAAAATATTCCATATTTCAAAGCACAAATATTTTAGTTTGTCATTTTTAACTAACTTTTATTTATTTTTCAGTGTATACTAAACTGCTAAGTCTTAACTGTTAGGTAACAGTTATCAGTGCAGAGTCTAGTGCACTTATAATGCACTGGTATGTAGATTTTACTTGTAGTCAAAGTCTACCACCTTTTCAATATAAATACCGGCTATTAAACCATTGCCAAAGTCATTAAACATTGTGCCAAAAATATAAGTTGTAACAAGTTGCAATATTACTAATCAAGTAAAACAGTTGCTAATATTGATATAACTGATTGTGACCGACATGTCCAACGCATCGACAACTGTCCCCACTTTAGCCTACTTCCCGACCAGAGGTTTGGCTCAACCCATACGTCTATTGTTGAAATACACGGGAACTCCGTTTGACGACAAACGCTACGAATTGGGACCCGACGTCCCAAATCTGCTCCAGAATTTCCGCAAAGAGAAGTTCACATTAGGACTGGACTTCCCTTCCGTTCCCTACTATCTCGACGGCAACGTAAAGCTCACGCAAAGCATAGCTATACTAAGATATTTAGGCCGTAAGTACGGGTTAGTGGCCGGGGATGAGGCGGGACTCGTGCGCCAGGATTTGGTCGAACAGCAGATCCAAGACATAAAACAATCATTTTTTGAGATAATATTCAAAAAAGAAGATTTTGAGTCCAAAAAAGACAGTTATATCGCCGAAACACTACCA